CAGAGAGAGAGAGAGAGAGAGAGAGAGTCAGAGAGAGACAGAGAGAGAGAGACAGAGAGAGAGAGAGAGAGACAGAGAGAGAGAGACAGAGAGAGACCCCATACACACAGACACAGACACACATCCACACAGACACAGACACACACACACACACAGACACAGACACACACACACACACACAGACACACACACACACGCACACACCTGGACGCGGAGTTGGGAGGAGAAAAAGTTGAGGGAGCGGGTGAGGCCGGCGCAGGTGACCTCAACAAGGCCGTCGTGCGTGCGGGCGCCAGACGGAAGCGCATAAGTCACAGAGCTCTTGCCGTCAGGCAGCGGCACCTTGAAAATCAAGAACAACAACAACAACAAAAAAAAAACCCCCCCGCAAAAACACAGTTGAGAGGAATCCAAACATGAGCAAGGAGCTGGTGAGACGCTTTGGTATCTGGGCCGTCGTGGGCGACACAGCGATGGTGGCATGAGGTTGTGGAGTTACATGACACAACGTCGACAATGTTGCAACAGCAACGTGCACGTGTGTTCTCCGACCTTGGTGGAGATGTTTGGAAGGACGTAAATGGATGACTTCTTGCCGTCCTGTCCAAACGGCTGTGAGGAAAACAACAGCTCAATGTCCATCACGTAGAAGCTCACTGTCGCCGTCGCCCCGGGCGCCATGCCCTGCTCGAGAGGGAATACAACACAAGCACGTGAGCAGAGTTACAAAGGATAAGAGCCAAACAACAGACACACACAGACACACAGACACAAATTCACAACACACACGCAGTCACAGACACACACACACACATTCACAACACACACACACACACACACATTCACACAACACACCGAGTATGAGATGACGACGTCGTTGTTGTCGAGAGAAATGTCCATGGCGGGAAGGGCGGCGCGGGCCTGCGATTCCGCCGACACGGCCTCACCAGAGTCAATCTCAGCAATCATCTCCCCAATCTGAAGGCAATTTGTGTTTCGCATCGAAAGTGCGATGTGTGTCGCCAAAGGGAGTGAGGTGAGGGAAGGTGTACGCGCTGTCATCGTCATGTGGACTTGATTGTTGTGCGGGTTGACCACAACCAAGGACCGTACACGTTGAAATGCCCACAGGCAGACAGACAGACCGACAGACACACACACACACACACACACAAACAGACGGACAGACAGACAGACAGACAGACACCCACACACAAACAGACGGACGCACAGACAGACAGACAGACAGACAGACAGACAGACAGACAGAGACACACACACACACACAGACACGCACGCACGCACAACAGGAACGTACGCTCTGGAACTTGGACTGCCATCCGGGGAGGGACATCTTGGCGCGCTTGGCAACAATTTCGCGTGCAGCGGTCAGCTCGGGGCCCTGGCAGGTGGCAATGCAAGGAGGTGGTGGGGGGGGGGGAAGCGAGGAGGAGGATTGGTCAGGAAGGGGAAGAAGGTCGTTTGTGTGGTGGACAAGCGGTCATTGGTTTGCACATGCACGAAAACTTGCACACACACACACACACGCATGCACCTGCATGCACACACACACACACACACACACACACACACACACACACACACACACACACACACACACACACACACACACACACACACGACAGGTTCACACTTGCGCACCTTGAAAAAGTCGAGGTAGCACTCGAGATAGTCGAGCTGAAGACTGCAGACCTCATCATCGCGCAGCGACGCGCGGGCACGCTGCAGCATGGTGCGCGCACCGTCCACATCATCCTCCAGGATGAGAAAGTAGCACAGGCTCGGCAGAGCTGGTGGCGGGAGCGCATCGCTGAAGGCAAGGTCTCCAAAGAGAGCGGCCTGCTTCTCAAGGATGGCGTCGTTCAGCAGCTGCGTCTTCTCGTCCGTGATGCTGTGCGCACGCGCGTTGATCACCGGCCAGAAGTCAGAGTGCTAGCAGCCACACACACACACACACACACACACACACACACACAGCATCAACACAACAGCGTGCGGTGTGGTGAAGTGTGGCATCAAGATGAGCGGGCCAAGTCAAATGAAGGAAGGAACCAAAGTGCAAAGGGATGGCAACACTTGTACCTCACTCATTCAAAGGCAAAGCACAGACACGCACAGACAGACAGACAGACAGACAGACACACACACACACACACACTCACGCACACGCACACACAAAGGCACACAAACTTCAAAGTGCTGCATGCAAAGGGATACCCTGAAGTTGAGGTTCCATGGCGTGGTGAGCAGCTTCGCGTGCACGCCCGGCCCAAACTGGCGCTGGTTGGCGGCCATGTACTCGGCAAGACTCGCCTCGTCCCGGTGCAGAAACGCATACGCCCACACATTCTGGAAAAACGCGCCTGTCTTGCGCAGCAGCGAAACTGCAGCCCGTGGAACAGTGGTGCGTGTGTATGTGTGTGTGTGTGCGTGTTTGCGAGAGAGGGTGGAGCGGGGCGTGTGTATGTGTGCGAGAGAGGGTGGAGTGGGGGAGTGAGTGGGGGTGAAGAGTGACAACACAACTGGTGTGTAAACCCGACGTGCATTCATGTGTGCAAGCTTGAATGGAAACGCCCTTGGAATAGCAGCATCTGTATATGGCTGCAGATGTTGTTGTGACGTACCCAACTCAAGGAAGAACTGCTTGTCACGCAGGCGCCAGAGCACAAGGTGGATCTCCGCCTGGCTCTTGGGATTCTCGCGCAAGAACGCCAACACCTGACGCAGCAGCACAGCCACACAAGCACACGCGCGCACAGTCGCAGCGAGTGAGACATGTGAAGCAAAGGGACACACACACACACACACACACACACACACACACACACACACACACACACACACACACGCACACGCACACACTATCGTTCCTCTCGAATGCAAGCAAAACCCTCGTTTGCACATCGCTTCATCCTTATTTCACTCATCCTTCGCCACCACACCACCTGCCCTTCCTTCTGGCCTCTGTCTGAGGTCACACCTCGTCATTGGTTCCGTGCGCGGCGACCGCGGGCCAGGACGTCGTGTCGTACGTGGACAGCGTCGTCACAGCCTGGGGCAGTGAATCGTGGCGGTGGAAGCCACGCACGTGAGACAAAGATCTTGCGCTTGATGTTGGAACGAAAACCACACACAAACAGGCACACACGCACACACACACACACACACTTAAACGCACACGCATACACTTAAACGCACACGCATACACATACACGCACACGCACACAAACGTCGACGCACCTTGACGCGTTGCAGGGGCGCCATGGAGAGAAGTGCTCCTTCCTTGGAGAGGCAGGCCGGATAGCACGCGAATTCGCCAGGAAGCGGGAAGTAGAAGAACACCTCCAGGCGGTGGTTGCCAAAGGGCGAGATAGGCACGTGCTCGCTGCGCTTGCTGCTGACGGTGGGCAGCGGCACCGCTCCGTTGGGCACCTGGCGAAGGAGATCCAGCTGCCCAGTCGTGCTCGTCATGTTCGTGCAGATGATCCGGCTTCCATACACGCGGCCCGTCTCAAACCTGGGCAGCCGCGGTGGAGAAACGGAGAAGAAGAGGGGGAGGGGGCATCGTGAGAGAGACAGCGAGTGTGTGGTGAGTTTGGCGCGAGCTGGAACGCACTCGACCAAACAAACAAACAAACAAACAAACAAACAAACAAACAAACAAACAAACAAACAAACAAACAAACAAACAAACAAACAAACAAACAAACAAACAAACAAACAAACAAACAAACAGACAAAGCAAAGCAAAAATATAACCGAACTAACAAAACAAACAAAGTACACCCCCCCCCCACCCAACACCCACACACCCACTTACTCTTCTGGGGCGGCGGCGTCAACAGCGCCCTGGGGATCGAAAAACGTCTGGAAGACCATCATCTTGCCTTCCTCGCGCGTGTGGACGGGGCGAAGTGCGCGCGTGAGAACAAAGCAGTTGCCCGTGTGCGTGACGCGCTGCTCCTCATCCACAGCCATGGTATTGTCAAAGGGAAGGTCAACAATGGCCAACGCAAGAAGCGCCTCATTCACCGTCTTGGTCGCGTGCAGCCACGTGCGCGCCATGCACGTCGGTCGACCAACACCATCACCATCACTGTCACTGTCACCAGCACCACTGGCAGCAAGCGCCGACACGCAGTCTGCCCAGAAGGGCGTCACCCGCAAGTGGAAGCGCTTCTCTGCGTTGTGGTCCCAGTACGTCTTCTCCGTGTACTCCTTCGTCTTGCCCACGGGGGCGGCCAGCTTTGGCGCAGCCATGCGGTCCCGCGTCACATCTGCTGTGCGGCGAGCGCGGCTGAGCATCGCTCCGGGCGCTGGTGCGGCTGACATGAGCATGCGGGGGGCAGCGCGTGCTGCTGCCGGCGGCGGTGGTGGCGCTGCTGCTGTTGTTGTGTCCATGTCGAACAAGGCCGATGCTTCCATCATCTCCGCTTGCGGCGCTGCCGCCATGGGCTGGGCCATGAAAAAGTCCATGTCTGCGCCTCCCATCGCGCCCTCGCCAGCCTCGCTCTCTTCCTCCTCTTCGTCCGCCATGGCGTGCAGGGCGTGCTGCAGCTGCTGCTCCTCCTCAACGGCCTGCTGCTTGGCGGTGATGAGGCGGTCAAACAGCCCGGCAATCTCGGGCGAGTTGCGCATGTCCTTGGTGGTCGCCTGCATCAGCGACGCAAGCTCCGGTGCAGAGAGCACGCCGCGCCACGCCAGCAGGAACTGCTCGACAGCAGGGCAGTCCGCCAGCGGCTGGCGACGCCGCAGCGCCGGCAGGCACGCGTCCAGGTTGGAGTAGAGCAGACAGCAGTCCATCACGTCCTTGTCCAGCTTGCTGGCAAGGTGCGGCCGCACGACCTCCTCGAAGAAGGTGGGGTCCTTGTTGAAGATGAACAGGTTCAGCTCGTGGCAGTAGTTGTCCGCGTAGTGCTGCGTCTTTGCCTCTGTGGACAGCGTGGGCCAGGACGCGAGGAACGAGAACTTGCTCAGCGCCGACGCGGCGTCGCTGTTGGGCAGCAGTGACACCAGCGACGAAAACAGCTTGCCAACCGTGTCCACCGTCTCAAACACGGCCCCGTCCGCGCTGCTCCCAGCAGCCGCCGCTGGTGGTGATGCATCCGTATCAGATGCCGATTGCGACGCTGATGATGACGATGACGACCACGGCTCACTGGCATTGACAGCAATCACCTCGCGTTGCTCTGCGTATGGCGTTTCAAGGTCGTGTGGCCACGAGTGCCGCACATCGCGTGCGCGCGGCACGGCTGCCTTGCTGCTGTCGCTGCCGCTGGTGGCGCTTGTGGACGACACAGCGGTGCTGTCAAACAGGAGCTGGCCCTCGTCCACCACAACAACAAACACCCGCGATGCAGCAGCAAGCGCCTTCTTCGTCAGCTTCACCGTCACAACACCAACCCCGGCGCCCGAGCTGCCATCACCACTGCCATCTGCGCCCTCCACCGCGGGCCGCAGGTTGGTGACAACGGCTGCGGGTGTCTCCAGCCAGTCGTAGCACGACACGGCCTCAAGCGTTGGCATGGCCATGGCGCCACCGTACATCTTCTTCTTGGCGCTCTTCCCGCCAGCGCGACGCATCCTGCGACGACAGCCCATGGCGCCCTGCATGTCGTCCTTGCGCCATGCCTTCTCGCGCTCCAGGTGCTCCCGTCGCGTCTCCGTCTCCCGCACCTCAGCCGGGTTGAGCACGAGCGTGGGCTTTGGCAGCATGTTCCCCAGCCGCGGCGGCATGGCCTTGCGACGCAGCACGTACTGGTGCTCCTCAGACAGCACGCGTCCAGAGAGGTAGCGGCACTCTGGCGGCGGCGCATCGGCTGGGGCGTGGTGGTTGTCGTCGCCAGAAAGGCAGTCGTCCCCGCTCTCCAGGGCCTCCAGTTCCGGTTCGCCCACGCTTGACCAGCGCGTGAACACGTGCACGCGGGTGGTGGCCTGTGCATTGCCAAGACACACGCGCACGTCACCGGTGTCTCTGTTTGCCGACATTTCGCGCACGTGCACGAGCGCTGGCGACAGGGAGCCGCCCACCAGCTGCGGGCACGCCGTGTACGTCCTTGCACCACCGCCAGCACTTGCGCTACCACTACCACCACGCGCGCCTGATGAGGACGCGGGAAGCGGTGGGAGTGTGCCCCGGCAAAGGGCCGGCAGGTTGCGAGGCAAGGCTGTGATGGAAATGGCCGTGACGCTGCTGGACTCGAGGCTCGGGCGTGTGATGAGCAGCTTGTAGTTCCCTGCACAGGGCAGCGTTACCCGCATGTGGCCGTGCGCGAACGTGATTGCGTTGTCCACGGGCATGGTGAGCAGGCCCGAGTTGGCGTCCTCAGCAAACAGCCGCACCGCATCAGCAGCAGCACCACTCCTGCCACTGTTGCTGCTGCTGCTGTCAAACGGCAAATCAAATGCCTCAGACTCCATGACTGTGAGCGAGGAAGGCAGTGGGTGGTTGCCGTGAATGTCCTGCACACGCCAGCGGCGGTAGTGCCCGCTGCGCAGCGTGGCCTGCAGCGACAGCACGTTGGCGAGGGGCCCAAGCACGACCTGGCCGTGCTCGTCCGTCTGCAGCGTTGTGGTGATGGCGCGGACCAGGAACGCGTGCTGCATGGTGAGGGTCAGCTGCACGCCTTTGCGCGCCTCACCGCAGCGGCCACGTACGTGAAGCACATACGCAGTGCCCGTGTTGACAAGGTAAATGTTGTCGATGGTCGCCTGCATGCTCGATGCATCTGGCACGAGGCTGCCCACGACAGACGTGTCCAGGAGGCGGTGCGTGGTCATGTGCGAGACCTGCTCCTTGGTGCCGTCCAGCTTGGTGATGCTGCCGCTGACGGCAACGTCGAGCGTGGCCGCGCCCGGCGGCACCTTCACCACCACCTCCACGTCGGCGGTGTCCGAGAACGCAATGCCGTGGTCTGCCTGCGTCAGCACGTTGGCCGCCCTGTCGCGGAAGGTGGTGGTGACGCGCGGCTGCGCAATGAGTGTGGGCGGGACGCACGTGTCGTCGTTGGCGGTGAGCTTGGGCAGCAGCACCAGCCTGGCCTGCAAGTTGCCTTGGATCGCAGTCTCGTGGTTGACCAGGCACTGGAAGGAGAAGCTGTACTGCTCATCGTACAGCGGCACCGTCGCCAGCGCGTAAAACCCGTCGTGCTGCAGAATCACCTTTGCGCGGCGCGCGTGGCTGGAGAACGGCAGCGAGATGTGGTTGTGCTCGGCTCTGCTGCGCCCGTACTCGCGGCCTTCCATCCACACGGTTGCTTCGGGCAAGTGCTCGCCCAGCTCGTTGTACACGCGCACCTCCGTGCCGGCAACGCCAGCCGCCGTGGTTGCATACAGCTGCCCCACAGAGACCATGGCTCGGCTGGGGGCGGGGGGGAGTGTGCGTGCGTGTGCATGTTTGTGAGTAAGTGAGTGAGTGAGTGAGTGAATGTGAGTGAGTGTGTGTGAGAGAGAGAGAGAGAGAGTGAGTGAGTGAGTGAGTGAGTGAGTGAGTGAGTGAGTGAGTGAGTGAGTGAGTGAGTGAGTGAGTGAGTGAGTGAGTGAGTGAGTGAGTGGGTGTGTGCGTGTGAGGTGAGGCACACGAGTAAGTGAACAGAGCGAGTTGCCCGATGCAAGAGCACCAACATCACGCGTCTCCACTTGTCTGCCCAACCTGCTGAGGCCGCCACCCCTGAGTTCGACCAGGTACACGCCGCGTCGCTTGATCTCCTGCAGCTCCAGATCGTGACGATGGCTGCAGGAATGTTCGGCGTGCATGCAGGCAATGTTGAGGTTGAAGAAATGGGTGTCACGAAGAAAAAAAAAAGCAAGGAGAGACATGGAGAGACATGGAGCGAATTTGAGCGAAATGGAGAGGAACCGAGAGAAAAGGAGATGGAAGAGGAGCGGAGACATCCGCGCCCAAACACGCACATTCCGCCAACTCACATGGCGATGCTCGGAAACTCCTTGTAGGAGCGCGTGGCCTTGAGGTTTGGGAGCAGACCGTCGATGTTGAGCTTGGCCGGCACAGGCTCAGACTTGTCCTTGTAGTAGTTGAACGTGTTGACCTCAAACACCTGTCGGTAAGGAGGGAGGAAAAGGAAGGAAGGAAAGGAGTGACAGGGGCTCGCTGTTATGCGACGCGTCAACATTCACAATCAAAGCACACACAACACACGCACACAAACACACGCACACAAACACACGCACACAAACACACGCACACAAACACACACCTGCACGTCGAGGGATGGGATGTTCTTGAGTTCGACGCTGAGCACAACGGGTTCGCCCACACCGTACTGCTGCTTGTTCTGCCGCGTAAACTCGAGCCGTTTCTGGGGAGGAGGGAGGAAGAGAGAGGTTGTGTGTGTTCGTGTGTGTGTGTGTGTGTATGTGTGTTAGTGTGTGGTTGTGCGTGCGTGTGTGTGTGTGTGGTTGTGTGTGTGTGTTAGTGTGTGTGTGTGTGTGTGTTTTAGTGTGTGTTGTCAGTGGGTGGTTGCACGAAAACACAAAGGCGCGCATCCTCTTCAGCCAACATACGTGCACAAACATGCGTACAGTACATATCCCCACCTGCTTGTTGAATGCTTCCACGTTCCCAAGATCAGACAGCACGGCGGCGTGCGTGTCCGGTTTGTCATCGCCGCTCGCCAGCTTGGCTAATAAGGGGGTGGTTGCATGGAAGGGTGTTTTGTACACGTGCAACATGGAGTGAGCATGTGTATATATGTGTGTGTATGTGTGTATGCGTGTGCACGTGTGCGTGTGTGTCTGCAATCATGCTGAAGAAATGGCAAAGAATTGCGGGGATGACTGCGCTGTTCGCCCCTCTCCATAACTCACATTCGGCGAAGACACGCTTGACAAATCGCTCCTGGAGATAGCGATCAAACGGTTTGGGCGATGTCACACTCTTCTGCACCACAGGCAAGCAGCAAGCGAGAGGTGAGGGTGCGCTCACAATTACACGTACGTGCGTGCGTGCATGCGTGCGTGCAAGCGTGTGTATGCGTTGTGGTGCGTGCGCGCGCGTGTGTGTATGCAGGCAAACGTGACATGTATGGTGATCGCGTTGCTTTAGCGGACCTGGCGGAAGAGATGCTCCAGAAACTCGGTGATGAATGGCGTATCGTCATTCTCGTTTGAGAGATCGACACCTGAGCGTTCACAGTCGTGCAGCATACAACGAAAGAACAAAACGAGTAAATAACCGAATGGATGAATCAATGAACGAATGAACGAACGAATGAACGAACGAACGAACGAACGAATGAATGAATGAATAAATGTGTGCGTGGACATGCAGCACACGCTCAAAGTTGTGTTCACGCACACACGCACACATGTAAGCGCACAGATAGGAGCGCACCAGGAAGCTGCAGGCCCGTGTGCGCAACCGTGAATGCAATGTCGCCTTCCTTGCGTGTTGGACTGACAAAATGCGCAACAGGTAAATGAGATGGGATTGACTCTGTCGAATGCATGCTCATCTGTGTCTGCGTGTGTGTCTGTGTCTCTGAGTATGTGTTGGTGTGTTTGGGAGTGTTTGGGAGTGTATTTGAATGACGCATCACCAACCAAACAGCCACAACACCGCAAGATGCGCCCTGCGCGAGCATGAGCAATGCCCATGTCGGCACGTGTTTCATCTGGGGACGTACGCAATGGACTGCGGGGCGCGCTTTGGCAGCTTGAGATACGTCTCAAACAGCTGCGCATCGTACACGTCATGCTGATGATCGTTGTTGTGTCCATACAACACATGTGGTCACAGCAGGCAGGCATGCCGTGAGCTCAGCACCTTGTTCATGGCAGCCAAGACAGTTTGCGCACGTGTGTGTGTGTGTGTGTGTGTGTGTGTGCGTGCGTGCGTGCGTGCGTGTGTGTGTGTGTGCGTATATGTGTGTGTGTGGGCGTGTGTGCGTGTGTGCGCGTGTGCGTATATGTGTGTGTGTGTGCAAGCATAGTTGTGCATGTACACGTGCGTGTGTACTCA